CCATCGAAATCTATGTCTATGTATGTTTTTTTTTTTAATAATGTAAAGGAGTTAATGATATGTATGTTTGCTTGTTTGAATATCAAATTTAGGATACTTCTGCTTCAAATTCCGTTGACAAAAACAATTCAAAAATCTATTTTCTTCCTTTTTTTACTTAAAAAAGTTTTTGAAATCTTCGACACATAATGTTTTTGAACAGGTGACCAAAACAAGTTAATTAGCCCCATTTTCCATCGGTGTGACTTCCGACTTTCTCCTAAAAGTAACAGAAGCTTCAAATTTTATATTGACAACATTAAAATTCAAAACTCCTTTTTACAAACTAATAATTATAATTCCGGGCACAAATGGATAACTTTTAATTTTCTTGGAGACTGAGGCTTGTTATACATCTGAGAAACAACGCGGTTTCATTTCTTTTAGAATATTCATAATCAATTATCTAATTCTTTTATTAATTAATATCCATTCTTTTGAGTGCTTTTTTTGTCTGTAGGTTGAGAATAACTGTGGATTGATGATACTCCACCGTACAAAAAGTTGATTTGACGATTAGTTTAACTTTTATTTTATTTTCTTTTCTATCTCATTTTTAATCCCTTTTAGTTTCATCATTTTGACTATATATTATTGTATAATACATGCTTATTTTCCCCAAAAAAAGAACCCCCAACAAATGTTATTGTTTTTGAATGAAACTAACATGATCCACAGTCAGAGAGCTTTTACCAACTTAAGGGACAGAGACCACGCAAGTTTTCTTGTAACCATGTGGGCTTTCGAAAGTGTGAACAGTGACAAATGTTCCAAAGTGATTTTTGCAATAAGAATGTTTCTCTGGTCATGTGTGTTTTGAGACCCAAAGCATGGCATTCATTTAAGTTCGAATCTCAGGAGTTGCTGATATGTTTACAACTTTTTTTGGAATAGAGTTTAAAATTAGAAAATCCCAAAACTAACAGAGGAGTTCATCTCATCGCTCATAAAGTTACTAGCGAGTGTCGTCTTTAATCTTATATAACAGCAAATCATCCGACTAGGCTACATGCTACAAGGGGTTTTTAAAAATGAGAGAGCCTCGTCCTCTGTTTAGCTTCTCTATTGTGGGTTTCTTTTCTTGGTATTGTTGTGGAGTCAGCAACATTCTTTTGGAAATGCCATGTTTTCATAAATGGTGTTGTGTAGTGGGTAGTATCTCCTAAGTCTTTTGCCTCTATTAGATAAATCTTTTCTGTCTACTTAGGAATTGTATTACAAAATCCAGTTGACCAAAAAAAAAAAAATGAAACTAACCTTTAATTATTTTCATCAAAACCTACGTATGAATTCCGAATCTAGCTAATTTATCTTTAATGGTATACCTCAACAGTTAGTTCTTTTGTCAAAAGTAAAAATTTCGAGGTTGCAAGTTGCTCATGTAATGCCAATCGAACTCTTATAAAGTCATGTGACATTAGTAATAAAAGGCTTTTGGTTAATATTATCAATAAGATGTTATAAAGTACAAATTAAGTCCAATCCAAACCAATTTATTTACAAGAGTACCATACTAATGGGTTAATTTGTCAATTTAGTTAGGTGATAATATGTTAATGAATGACTATTTCACCCATCATTTCTTTTTTATTTTTTTAAATTGAAACAAATCCCTTTAACAATAACCACCACCATGATCAACTTCTCATCATCATACAATCATTATTGTCGTCATCATCATCATCATACCATGATCAAAATACTATCAACCATCATCATCAATAGCAACAATACGTGAATTTCCGGCTTATATATATAAATGTGCGTGTGCTTAGTGTTGCATTTTTTTATAAGGACAAAAAATTAAGTATGGCATAGTGTTGTGTATTTAGCGATCTTGAGTCTTTACTTCTTTTTTTTTTTTTTTCAAATCTAAGCTTTTTTAGGAGTTTTTAGAGTATGTCAACTCTTTTGTGTCACTTCACATATTGTTAATGAAACATGCGAAAATTTAGATCAAAAATGCATGAAGACGAGAAAAAAGAATGAAGATCCTCCATTTAGTAGAGCATTGTTGTTCAACAACAGTACCAGTCTAGCAAATACCTAATCAATGATGATTTCATACACATACTCTCAAAATCGTTTCATGATATTGACCTGCGTCCACTCTACCATGACTGGTACTATAGGAGCCTACCAGTGTCACAGTCAGGGCCGGTTATATGCATGTGCAACTGGTGCATTTGCACTGGGTCCAACAAATTTAAGGTCCAAATTCATAGTTTTTCTATTATTTAACTATTTAATTATGCTGAAATTTTATAAAATATATATATGTAAAGGTCCCAAAATTCTATTTTAAAAGGTAATATTGAGGCCCAAAATTAATAAACAAAAATAACAGGTCCAAATAGCTATAAAATACAAAATAGTTTATGAAATATAACTTTTTATTCTTTATCTAATTTTTTTATTAAAGATAGGATTTTTTTTTGTATGGAATCGGGTCTTGCCGATGAGGGAGCCGGACCTGGTCACAGTGTGTACCTCTTGGAACTAAACCAATATTAGGTTAAACCATATAGTACCAGATAAGCTAGTGTACGGTCATACACATTCCTATCCCACATTATACGAGTCAAGTATACCAGTCTACCTCTTATTTTTAGTTTATTAAAGTAATTATGGCTTTTAACACGTTGACATTTGCTTTCTTCTGATATGTGTGAGTAGATTCCAAATTATATTTTCAGGTTTTCTAACGATTTCTTGAATTGATAAGATTATATAGTGATTTGAGGATTATTTAAATGGTTCTTAATCAAGGGTTGTTCTTAATGCTAAATTAGATGAGCATCTAGATCTAGATATTGAATTTAGCGCACCAATAGTTGTAAAATATGCATGAAGAATGATACTCTCCAAACTAAACCAATCAAAGTTGATGTTAGAATGAATTGTCAACAATTACACAATAAAGTAATGCTTGCTAAATTTCTAGATTTTAAACAAAATTTTAGTAATTATGGATTTTAAACTAAAAAAGTTTTGAAAGAAGGTTAGGCTAAGTTTGTGATTTGAGTTACAAAACTGTTTTTGTTTTTAATGAATGTAAAACAGTTTATTGGTTGAACATAATTTTACAATAAATGCATCATAGAGAGCTGAAGTTTTTGAGAGATTTGTTTCCTATTAATTGCGTCACTAATAATTTGTGTGTTTCTGTTTTTTTTTTTAAAAATCTTTCTGAATTCTTGTTTAATTGTTCATTTTATGCTTACACTCTTTATTTATTCTTAGTTGATTTCATTAGTGATTGCTAATCAAAACATCAAAAGAACGTTTCATATTAATTTGATCTTACGCTTGAAAACAAAATGTAACATTTGGTCCTTGCAGAGTTGCAGTTCGACCTCATGACACAATTATCGTGAACTTACATGTTAGTCGATCTTCATTAAAAGCTAATCATATCATCTAGTTGCCTGTCCCCTTAGAGGTACCTCTAGACCTCTAAGGATAAGGATGGTTACATGGTCTAATTAGCGCTATCATGAGCTGGGTGGTCGTTTGAGGTAAATGTGTTTGACTTCTTTAGACCACTTAAAATCTCATTAGCTAGTATTTCTCGTACCCAAAAACGTGACCAAGCTACATAGTATTCGGGTTACACGAGTAGAAGATGTTTATTTTTACCCATCAAGTTGTTTGGAACTTTGAAAGGATTGAAAGATGTTTGGACCGAAACAATTATTTGATCATATCGGGAAGAAAAACCTTTTTTCCGATTTAATCTCATTTTTGCTCCACTATCTTTCCGGAACATCTATACTCCCTTTGAACTGAAGATCAACATAGAAGCCAGAGACGATGAAGATATTGTAAAGCTTGAAAACGTTTTAGAAGGGTGAACTGGCCAAAATTGGAAAATAACAAAATGGTGGTGGCTCGCAGATGATGATTTTGGTGGAGTTTAGAAAGAAGCTGGAGATAACTGAAGGTAGATATAGATCAACTCTTAGAAACTATGAGAATAATATTTTTCATGCGAAATGCATCCACACATTAACACCTAAGTGTCTATGTGTCTCTCATGTTCTTTCCTTGTGACACACGACTACAAGGTTTCAAAGACCATTTTACCAAAAAAAAAGAAAAAAAAAAAAAAGGTTTCAAAGACCTACTATGCACTCACAATTCTATCCTATGAAATGTCTAAATTAAATGACATAAATCCAAATTTCACGAACTGTTTCAAGACCGTTACGCTTTCTAATTCTAAACAATATATCATTTTTGTTGGTTTAACAGAACCATCGATTACGAGACTATAATTTTTTTAAAATGTTATAAAAATGTAAAACATTTCCTTGACTCCTTAGAAAACAAATATAAATAAGTACTATGAGTGGTCCTACTTGCATTCCACATTTGTTTTTGCTTGAAAATGGGTAGAAGGCGTTTTAACGTTCTGCCACTTGTACTTTAAATTTGTTCTTGTATCTATCTCATCTACTGATTTTAGCGAGGCTTCAAATTCATGTTTGCACTGCTTTTGTCCAGGCCCGGTTCTAAAGAGATGTTTAAGGTTAGTTTATATATTATATGTCATCATGTTAAGTATTTTTGGTTTGCAATAAATGGATCGAATCAAGGTCGCGTAAGAGATATATGACCCTTGTTAAGCCTATACGCCGCCACATACTTGAATCTAGAGAGAAAAAAGTGTTAAACATTCATAGTTCTCAGTTCTTAATCACTTTATTGTTAAAATATTTCATCAAATAATCATATACGATTAGATCTCCAATCTCAATTAAATAAATATTTTAAAGCGAAAAGAAATAATGAAGGGGGAGGTGGTAGAAAGAAAACGTTTATGTACAAACTCTAATAAAAGAAATCTGCGTGTATAGACACGAAGGCTCCAAACTTTTGCATGTGTCACACGTGTCTTCCTCTTTCTCCCTACTTAACACATATATGCATGCACACCGCACCCTTCTTACAAAGATAGCAAAACATTGTGAATCATCAGAGAGAGTGGGGAAAAATGGAGAAAAACAAGAGAGCTTTCGGGTTTTTGCTTCTGGTGGTGCTTATCAATGGAGTTATGATGACGAGATCAAATGGGTATGAAGGAGAAGAAGAGTGGGGAGGAGGTGGAGGAGGAGGGGAGTGGGGAGGAGGTACTGGAGGAGGAGGAGAGTGGGGAGGAGAGGGAGGAGGAGAGTGGGGAGGAGGAGGAGAAGGAGGAGGTGGAGGAAGAAGAGGATGGTTCATGATGAGAGAGTCGAAGCAAGTGATCAAATCAGAAGGTGGAGAGATGAGAGTTGTGATATCACCAAGAGGAAGGATCATTGAGAAGCCAATGCACATTGGGTTTCTAACAATGGAACCTAAGACCCTCTTTGTCCCTCAGTATCTTGACTCAAGCCTTCTCATCTTTATTCGTCAAGGTCTCTATCTCGCTCTCTCTCTCTCTCTCTCTCTCCACATGTGTCTCTCTCTTTGTTTCAACATGTGTCTCTCTCTCAACATGTGTTTACTTGCAGGTGAAGCAACGCTTGGAGTGATATGCAAAGACGAATTCGGAGAGAGGAAATTGAAAGCAGGAGACATCTACTGGATTCCGGCTGGTTCTGTCTTTTATTTGTTAAACACAGGCCGAGGTCAACGCCTTCACGTCATTTGCAGCATTGATCCAACTCAGAGCCTCGGTTTCGAAACCTTCCAAGTACTTAGTTTAAATATACAGGACTAATCAAAGGTTCATTGATTTATAAAGTTTTGCATTTGGCTAACTTGTTACTTCTGTGTAGCCTTTCTATATAGGTGGAGGACCATCGTCTGTTCTCGCTGGCTTTGAACCCGACACTTTAACTTCAGCATTCAACGTTAGTACTATTTCAACCCACATAGTTCTTTCATCCATGTCGAAAAAGAAAATGTGGTTTTGACACTTTTAAAAACCTTAATTTTTATCCCATATGTTTGTTTTTTCTAAGCAACACTATAACATTATATTTGTATAAATGATTTTGAGTATAATATTCGGCTTCTATAGTATTAATTTCTTAAAATCTTAAGAAAATTATACTTTTTTAAATTCTGTGAGTGCCATTAATTAACGTTGATCAGTTCTATGCTTGTAATATAGGTATCCCGACCAGAGCTTCAACAAATGATGATGAGTCAATTCCGTGGCCCGATTGTACACGTCATGGAAGGGCCACAACCACAACCGACGATATGGACCCAATTCTTGGGGTTGAGAGGGGAAGAGAAACATAAGCAACTCAAGAAACTCTTGGAGATGAAACAAGGATCCCCTCAAGATCAACAATCCACTTCAGGGTGGTCTTGGAGGAATATTGTAAGATCGATTTTGGATCTAACAGAAGAAAAGAATAAAGGGTCAGGATCTTCCGAGTGCGAGGACTCATACAACATCTATGATCAGAAACGCAGTTTCAAAAACGACTATGGATGGAGTATAGCTCTTGACTATGACGATTACGAGCCTCTCAAACACTCGGGAATCGGAGTTTATCTCGTAAATCTCACCGCGGTATGATTCATATCACTTAGTTGATTACTACACTAAAATTAGATTAATAAACAAGTATGTTAGCAACATCTAGCAAATTTTCTATCTATGGGAATCAAAAGGTTGATAAAATATCATTATGTACGCTTTATAGGATTTGTTAGTTCCGAACACATAGATTTGTAATTGGATAACTAGATCGACTAAGAATTAATGTTTTGGTATAATATTAGATTGGTTTAGAAAAAAAGAAAACAATTCTAAACGGTATTTCATCGATTGAATTTTAACAATTATCAGGGATCAATGATGGCTCCACACATGAACCCAACAGCCACAGAATATGGCATCGTTTTAGCTGGCTCTGGAGACATTCAAGTTGTATTTCCTAATGGAACTTCTGCTATGAACACGAGAGTCTCCGTAGGAGATGTCTTCTGGATCCCTCGATACTTCGCTTTTTGCCAGATCGCATCTCGGACCGGACCATTCGAGTTTGTAGGATTTACCACGTCGGCTCACAAGAATCGGCCTCAGTTCCTGGTCGGATCAAACTCACTACTCAAGACTCTGAATCTGACGTCATTGTCCATGGCATTCGGAGTCGATGAAGAGACAATGAGGCGGTTCATTGATGCCCAGAGAGAGGCTGTTATTCTCCCTACCGCATCGGCAGCTCCTCCGCATGTCGGCGAAACGGTGCGCGATCGCCTTGTTTGAGGAATGTGCAAAAGGTTTTCTTTTTGAATGCTATGTATGTAGTTAACTATGAGTATGTATGGATGTATGTTTTTGTTTCTTTGAAACAATATTAATAAAGGTGATCTGAGAAGGTTTATGTTTTTGTCCATTCTTCGAAACGACAACGTTATCTTTGAATATGTTAATTAACTCTTGTTTGGTCGTCTAGAAATATGTTAATTATTTTTGAATTTACAAGAATTTACAAATTTAAAGAAATTAAATAACAGATATCTTACGGGGATATGCTTTTAGTCAAGTGGTTAAGTCCATTTGACTCCGCTTTCCCTACCGGAGTTCGACTCCACTAAGTCGTATTACCCCGTATTACCCCGCGTAGTAGTAATTGGCTATGGATCGGACCTTGTCGATCCAATGATGTCAAAAAAAAAATGACAGATATCCCACATCGACTAGAAAGGAAAAAAAAAAAACAAAGATCCAAAAGAATTCGGGTATAAAAATTGCAACGACCATGTGTAAGAGATTTAAAGGTTTCAAAGTATTGTGCTATGGTTAAGACTAAGAGTTCGGTTGCATTGAGACGTGCATTCGTGACTCATCTGGACCGCACATATGAGGTGGTAGATGATCCTTCAACAGATGCAATCATCTCTTGGAGCCAAAGCGGCAAGAGTTTTATCGTTTGGAATCCGTCGGAGTTTTCCAAAGATCTTCTTCCAAGATGCTTTGGACACCACCATTTCCTGGACGCTTAAAGATTATGTAAGCTGTATCTTTCTATTTGCAAAGATTAGTTAATATTCTCGGATTAAGACTTTGTTTTGACTTTGTTTTGATGTTGTAGGGCATTAGGAAAGTTGACTCTGACCTATGGGAATTTGCAGAAGATGACTTTGTTAAAAGAAACTTGAACTTATTCAGAATATAATTAACCGCGCAGATTCAGATTCAGATGCAGAATCAAGAGTCAGTTCGAGGAAAACAATCTTAAAAAGAAGAATAATGTAGAATCTAAAGCCAGTACGAGCATGACAATCCTCAAGAAGAAAAAGAAAAAGAAGAAAAAATGATAAAGTTCGTTGCAAAGGAAATTTCGGATCAATTCCAAGGTTTACAAATCTGAAGAATATCCTAATCAAATCTAGTAATAACTGTGGATGTCGGATTCACACACTCAAGTATTTTTGTTAAGTGGGAAAGATTATTCTTGAGGGACAAAAAATGAATATATAAAAACTTGTAAATTGATACGAAAATTGCTATATATTTCACTCTCGAGAGGAAGATCCCCTTTACATGGCCATCGGCCTCTATATTTATACACCGATAAACGACATTAAAATGAGTAATTAAACACAATTATTTCTTCTTAAATGTGTCCGTTTTGATTCTCCGGCTTTAATGCTCAACGTTTGAATTTGAGTTGACTCTGATCTTCGTGGGCCTCGCCTCTTTTGGCCCAAGTGTCCGTAAACCGACTTACCCGTGTCTTCTTACACCGAACTCGTGTCACAATGTAATCACTTCGGATTCTCGAAATGGTGACAACCACTTCGACCGTCCCTTCGGCTCACGGGTCCAATGGGCTTCATCCTTTATGGGCCATTATCTTGATCACGTGGCAATCTTTGGTTGGTCTCGTACTTCTGGTGCGGGATCCGACACCAACAATTAGCCCCCCAAGTTCTTCGAAGTGCTATTCCAGTTCGGAGGACTTTAAATGCTCAAGTGGCCAAAGATTGCGCTCGAGAATCTTTCTGATTTCCCGCCGAAAATCCCATCACTCCTTTAATTTTGGCACTATCCATTTTTAACCGAGTGACATCTGTCATCATTATGACCGTATATTGATTAATTACTATTAAAACGGAAAAAACCTTCCCACTTCCCACACGACTTCCGAGGCGGTTTCATCATTAGCTTGAGGTAACTTCTTTTCACCATTACTCTCTTCTTTTACTTTTGTACTTTAATCAAAACCTCTCTCTTCGTTCCTTCACCAAAACCCTTCTTCGCCGGATCTTGAATTTTTCTTTCTTCCCAATGACTTCTGATTCCGATAGACCCGAGTCTCCGTCTTTTGACGAGAGGCGTTCTAGTAACGACGAGTGCACCCGCCCTGGTGACATTGCCGGTCCGCACTATAGGTCCACTTGTACTCTTCAATCCCTCGAGCGATTGAGAGAGCTTTGCCGGATTCCGCCGGAAATTATGGCGGAAGCACAAATAGCTTCCCCCACAGAATCCCCAGAGAACCATCGCGATGGTTACTTCTGTGTGTATGAGATTTATTTCAAGGGTTGCGGGCTTACCTTTCCTCTTCCCGAAGCCCTAATTTTATACCTTGCGGCTCTTGAAATCGCTCTTCCTCAATTAACCCCCAATCTTCTCCGTACAATTCTTGGTATTATAACAATCGCGGCGGAGGCCGGTTATGTTATCGGAGTTGCTGAACTGAATGAGCTTCTGAGCGTGAGAAGTTCATCGAAGAAAACGGGATATTTCTCAGCATATCCTAATGCCAACAGGAACATCATTTCGCATCTTCCAAACAAGGATGAAAATTGGCATCATCCTTGGTTCTTGATTAAGAAAACTCCCGCTTCGATTGGAAATCTTGCAGATTTCCTCCCTTCGAAGTGGTCGGCGAAACCTGGTAGAGATTAGGTCGTCCGTATCTTTCCCGGTTGTTTCTTTATCTTTATTAACTAACATCGTTGTTTCATTTCGCAGCTTTCATCGCTTCCAATCTCCCATCTGAAGAGTTCATCGAATTCTTCAAAATAATTCTTGAAGGGGAAACCCTTTGGAATTCCTTCACTCTCGAACGATTCATAGAGGCTAACCACAGACTCAGGATGAGTCCGCCTGGTCATCTTCACCAAATTCCTCCCCCTCCCTCGACTCAGGGAATGTCATCTCGGGCCCTTGCGGCCAAGCGTAAGTTGCTTTCCAAGCCGATGGCTGAGGCTTGCGAGGAGAAGAAAAAGTTTCTCGCGACTTCTATAGACAAGAAGGACTATAGTAGGACCTTGCTGGTCGATGATGGCAGTACCGAGGGAGCCCGATCTGTTGCTTCCTTCAGACTAACTCCCCGTCACGATCGCCGCGACTCACGTTCTCCTCGGAGGGATCAATCTCCTCGCCGTGATTCACCTCGTCCTCCCCGAGATGATTTTAGTAACGAGCCGATCAAGAACTTGGTTCGCCGGAAGAGAGACAAGTCCTCTCGCAGAGATCCTTCCCCGCAGAGGGAAAAGTCAAGGGCCCGGACTGACCGCTCACCTCGGTCATCCCCTCCTTCTGAACCAATGGGTCCTCCACGACCGGTTGACATGTCCTCCTCTTCCCAGCCGGATAGTGGAATGACTGCCCGGAGCGCGTCTCCGAAAAAGGGGGATTCTGAATCTCGAGATGCTCCCTCGAGGCTGAAGCCTGCTCTTGTCCCTCAAGTTAAATCGCTTTCAGGTTTGGTGATTTACACGTACTTTAAACTTTTTGTCTTTATTAAAATTCCAATTTTTTACAACTCTTCCTTCTCCACAGCTATGGAGAAAGAAGGCAGCGTCTTCCGATGCTTCAAGACCCGGTCGGGCTCGATCTTGCCAGACTTCGACAAATGGCGCCCTGCGATTCGTGAACGTTATTTGCTTCACGCGCATCACTCATCTCGGGTTAGTTCCGTTTTCTTTTATTATTATTTTTTTTATTGTATTGCTATTCTGCGAACTGACTCGTCATCCCGGGTTCATGTATGACGCCAGGCTCATAGCGAATTTAACGATATGATCGAACATTACGAAGGGTTGGTCCTTGGACGGGAGAAGGAGATTGACATGTGGAAAAAGAAACTCTCTGCTCTTGAGGCCGAAGTCAGTTCTTCTGCCGGCTCCAAGCACGAGCTGGAGGACAAAGTCGACAACTTAACATCCGAGCTTGCGCAGGTAAAGGGGGAGCTGCAGGGTCAGTACGACCAGAACTTCAAGCTCCAGGAAGAGTTTTCTGGTATTCAAGGTAGGCTTCAAGAGTCCGAATCAAACGCTGATTCCCTGAACAACCAACTCATCGAGCTCAACGCAAAGTACAAGGCGATTGCCAAATTGCGTGATTCTGAGTTGGCGAGGTCGGCATCAAAAGCCAGAAAAGAGGTCAAGGGACGCGGGATGGAGTTGATCCAAGGGGCCATCCGATTCATGCAGACTGAGAAGGCTAGGTTGGACTTGGAGTCAGACATCAAGGAGCATGAGAGTAACCTGATTCTGCTGGATCAAATCCATGAAGAAAGGACCGAGCTGTCGACTAACCTTTCTGAAAAACGGAGTCGCTTGGCAGCTCTTCCCACTTCGGCCTTCAACCCGCTTGACTTCGAGGCATTCTTTACTGAATCACCTCCAATAAGTGAATCGGGTTTAGACTGGGCAGGTAACGCTTGGCTCCTAAGGCTTACCTTTTCTTACCTTGTACCTCTGATTGACTGGAATTATTATTTCCAGGTTCAAGTGAGACGGAGGGCATTGTCCCGCCCGTAGCTCCTGTGGTATCGGAGGTTACTCCGGAGGTTGGTTGTCCCGCGGAGGGTGGTCAGGGAGCTTCATCTGATCAAGCACCAGTCAAGGAGGTGAATGAAACTCTGGTTGCTGAGCAGGAGCCCGAGGTGGAGATCGCTCCGTAGTGGCTGTGTCCACTTTAAATTGGGGATTGTCCCTTTTTATTTTAAGACTTAATCTCGAATTTATTTTTGCCTAAGGAGGCTTTATTTTCAAGATATTTGCCTGAGGAGGCTTTTAAACCTTTCTAGGTTGTGACCCAAGGGGGTTTGGTTAAAATTATATGCGGGTTTGCAAAGTCCGTTTTTAACCTTTTGTGGCCTTGTGGCAATGCTTTCGACATTTTATAGGCTGATCAGACCTTTCTCTTTAGAATGCGAGAGCTGAGCTCGGCTTAACGCGAGTTCCCCACTTCGGGTTTAGTCAACTCGGTAAACTTGTTAGGCTTGGGCCTTAGAAACTTTTGCAGTTAATGCGACGGTTGCTCTTTCCCTTCTTAAAGAAAACGGCTCGTCTTTTAATGCAATAATTGCCTTTTCTCGATTTTCCAAAAATGGTTTAACCCACTGGGAAACGCTACCATTAATGAATTTATGGTTCCAAGACAAACCCTAAATCATTATAAATAAAGGCTTACCTACCTCTAGGCTTTATTAAACATGACTCTAGAGTCTCACTTGAGAAATATTTTAAGAATGGAAAGCGAAACAGTAGCCCCCGTTGATCCCGGCAGCCCACTCTTCTTGTCCGGCGACGGCTTTGAGCCGGCCGGCGTTCTCTTCCCTCATGCCGTCTTTCACTTTCCTTCAAAGGAGAAAAAAGAGGCTTGCGACTTCATTGACAGGGTAAGTATTTGAAGTTTTTTTTTTTGATTAAAAACTCTTTGTTTCATCTTATTCATTCATCTTTATGCTAGGTTGCCGACAAGCACCGTCGCTTGTGTGAAGAGAGGCAACGGCTGGGCCTCAAAAGGCAGTCACTCGAGGCTCGTATTTCTCGTGTGGAGAGGAAGATCAGGGCTTTGGAAGTGATCCCTTTCAGTGGGAATGGCGGAATTTCGACTCCGTTGCTGAGATCCCGAGGATGCTTCGGATGTACCTCCGTGCTAAGGGGGTTCCGGGTCCTGTGAACGCCCCGGTCTTCCCCGTTCCATCTGATAGTGAGGAAGAAGATTTGGAGGAGGAGGCCAGCAACTGTCGGAGACGCATTCGGGATCGTTCCGAAGTGAACTCCAAGGACAAGGCATCCACTTCGGAAGTTAAACCGGCGATGAAGGAGCCTGTTCCTGAGCCCCTTCCTTAAATGTTCCCTAATTCTGCTCTCTTCTTTTTTTTTATTGTCAAAGACGCGTCTTAATACGTAATCTCCCACGAAGAACGGCCTATTTTTAACTTTAGAATTGTAATACCGGGCTGCTGCCTGTTGGTAATTCTGGATCCGAATTAGAGCTTGATCACGTATTTCATTTATGGTATCCAGTGAATCGTTAAGCATTGCTGAATTTTCTTCCTCATTTAACGGTGCTTCTGTTCGACGAAGTCCGGGCACATTGAGTTCAGCTGGTACTACCGCTTCCATGCCATAAACCAAAGAGAATGGAGTTTCTCCTATAGGTCGCCTAGGGGTTGTACGATAAGCCCACAGGACGGGTTGGAGTTCTTCATACCATCCTCCCTTTAGATGACTTAAGCGTTTCTTGAGATTGCTTAATATCGTCTTGTTCGCGGCTTCGGCTTGTCCGTTCCCTTGCGGATATCGTGGAGTAGAATAACTAACTTTGATTCCCCAGTCCGCACAAAAGGCATCAAACTCGTGTGAAATGAATTGTGGCCCGTTATCAGTGACTATTTCGTATGGAACTCCATGTCGACATATAATGTTTTTCCAAATAAAGGTCTTCACCGCCGAATCCTTGATACCAACATACGCCTCAGCTTCAATCCATTTTGAAAAGTAGTCCGTAAGGACTAAAAGGTACTGTACACCTCGAGTTGATTTGTGCAATGGCCCAATGATGTCCATTGACCATCTCATAAACGGGTATGGGGCGGAAATGGAGGAGAATAATTCTGACGGTTGATGGATCAATGGTGCATGGAGTTGGCAGCGCTTGCATCTTTGGGCGAACTTAACACAATCTGTGATCATAGTGGGCCAAAAATACCCCATTCTTTTAACTTTAAAAGCCATAGCTCTTCCTGATGAATGACTCCCACATAATCCTTCATGCACTTCGCTCATGACGATTTCGACTTCAGGCCCAAAAATGCATAATAGGTAAGGGTCACTGATACCTCGTCTATATAACGCATCCTTCGACAGACAAAATTTCGCGCTAACGACTTTCATTTTCCTGGCCTGCCATTTATTCTTTGGGAGCTCACCTGTCATGATGTATTGCTTTATTGGCTCCCTCCAGTCAGCCCCCCAGTCTTTAGCCGGAATTTGATCAACTTTGTGAAATATCCGCGGCTCTGGTTCGGGATGTTCGTGTGGTTCAAGAATATTTTCCTCGAGTAATGGCTCGGTTTCTAACATCGTTTCTGGAATCATTTCTTCAGCTAAGACAACGGGTTCCTTGTTAGATGTATTTGATCCTTTTGACTTCCTGCGTTTGTTGGGTGGTGGTTCGATCTCTGGTTCGCCACGGTCGCATGCCGCTGCTCGGGACCTTGTAACGACGAGGGTTTCCTTGCTGTCTTGAATGCTTCGCTCCGAGATGCACTCTACTGGAATAACTCTCTTTAACTCAGGATCTGATGTTGACGCCAAAGCGGCAAGTGCATCCGCAGTTGTATTCTCTCCCCGAGGTATGCGGATTAACTCGAATTTCGAGAAATTTTTAGATAGATCCTTCACCACTTCGAGGTAAGCTTCCATTCTTGAATCTTTGGCTTCATAGTCTCCATTAAATTGGTTAACTACTAATTGCGAATCGCAATAAGCCAATATTTCCTTAGCTCCAACTCCTTGTGCTAGTCGAAGTCCGGCAATAAGGGCTTCGTATTCTGCCTCGTTGTTGGAGGCATTGAATAACAATCGGAATGATTGTTCTAGAATTTCTGATGTCGGAGATTCCAACCTAATTCCCACTCCGGATCCTTGCTTTGTTGAAGACCCATCTACGTGTAATTTCCAAGTTTGGTTCTCCGGTTGATCTATCGTTCCAGGTATTGGTAATTCGGTCAGGAAGTCTGCTAAGACCTGAGCCTTCATACTGATCCGGCTTTTAAACTCTATGTCGTACTCGCTTAATTCCACCGCCCATTTCGCCAAACGTCCGGATTGACTCGGACTATGAAGTATTGTTCTGAGTGGTTGGTTAGTTAATACCTCAACCGGATGGGACTGAAAATATGGACGCAGCTTCCGAGCCGAAGTACCACCGCGAGTGCAAGTTTTTCCATCATTG